GGTAAGGTCAAGAAAATGATTGGCTGAAATGAACCTAAGCTGAACAATGAATAATTGTCTGCATTTATCTTTTATCTGTCCTTCCAGGAGCTCTGACAAGTACTAAATACAATGAGACGTAAAGAATTTAAATTATTCTGGGGAAAGAAATTAGTAGTCAGTTCTGGTATGCCATGTTGAAGTGAATTTCATAAGTGAGTATATGGAAAGAAATCTGGAGTTCAATATCACTGCCAGAATACTGCCTTGCTTTTTTAAAACAAGGTGACTAAATGTCAAGATTAATTAATGTAATCCATTTCACCCATAAATCTACCACTACAATTCTCAAACTTGATTCTGCGACCCTAGTACCTCAAGAGCTGTTGCAAAACTATATCCAGATACTCAAAACAGGTTTACTTTTGATTCACCTTAAAAATTAGAAGTACGTATGTGCTCGATGTCAGCTTTTTATAAGGCAGAGGAGAAGTGGTGAAATCAAATTAAAAATAGTATGATTTCATAATGCCTAAAAGCCTGTAAATGACTATACTAAGGAGTTGGAATCATTCAAAATTCTCAGGTAAACTGAATTTAAGCATTGATATGTGATATGGTTTGGCTGATCCCCCACCCAAATCTCATCTTGAATTGTAATCCCCAAAATCCTGGTGTGTAGAGGGAGGGACCCAGTGGAAGATGATTGGATCATAAGGGTGGTTCCCCCATGCTGTTCTTGTGATAGTGAGTTCTCACAACATTTTTGGTTTTATAAGGCAGTTTTCCCTTCTCTTGCACGTTCTCTCTCCCCTGTCACCATGTAAGATGTACCTCTTCCCCTTTTGTCATGATTATAAGTTTCCCGAGGCCTCCCCAGCCATGTAGAACTGTGAGTCAATTAAACCTCTTTTCTTCATAAATTACCCAGTCTCGGGTATGTCTTTCTAGCAGTGTGAAAACGGACTAATACAATATGCTAATGAAAGTGGGAAAACTAAGATTGATTTTGGAATGAAACATGCAGTCTCAACTTAAGAACACCCAATTTACAAAACTATATATATCCAGACAGAGTCATACTGAATGCCATATTCTCCCACATCAATGTCAAACGCTTAGCATGGCCAGGGAAAAGCTGTTCCTTTGCCCTAAGGCAGCCGTGTCTTCTGAATATGGATCCGTATTCACTTTCCATCTTAGCCTCCATCAGACACACTCTTCTTTTCCTAAAGCATTTGCAGGGCAACAGAGGGTTCCAGGTTTCAGAATGTAAACAGTCATATCTCATTGAAAATAAGTTGAATGATTATTAAGTTTCCAAGCTAGATTACAGAAGTCTTTTTAGCCCATATCATAAATAAAATAGCTCGGAATTTTTCCTATGGAAAAATATACTCTATGTTCCAAGCAAACAACTTAAGAAAATTTTTAGAACTAACACATTCCTATATTGGGAAGAGCTCAAAAGTCTGTTCTTCCTCCCCACCCACTGTTGTTTAATGAATCTCTTAATATCATAAAGTCCCTCATGTGTCATGTGTAGACAGTCATTTTTGAATCAGGGCTCACTTTGTTACCTTTTTTCAATTAAACCTCTTTTCTATATAAATTACCCAGTCTCAGGTATGTCTTTATAGCAGTGCGTAAACAGACTAATACAGGAAATTGGTACCTGGAGTGGGGCATTGCTATAAAGATACTTGAAAATGTGGAAGCGACTTTGGAACTCAGTAACGGGCAGAGGTTGGAAGAGTTTGGAGGGCTCGGAAGAAGACAGGAAGATGAGGGAAAGTTTGGAGCTTCCTGGAGACTTGTTGAATGGGTTTAACCAAAATGCTGATAGTGATGTGGACAATTAAGTCCAGGCTGAGGTGGTCTCAGATGGAGATGAGGAACTTATTGGAAACTGGAGTTGCCAATAGATCAGGAGTTAACCAGAAGCTTGAGTTGAGTATGGACTTGGCATATGGATATACACATTGACATCTTATGCTAGTGTTCTGGCCCTCCCTGCCCTGACAGTGGTAAAAGCATCCATCAATGCCCATCCTGACATCAGCATAAAGGACAGGTTGGAGAGATTGTAGATAAAGTCAGAGAAGCTATTATAATGCTCCTCACCTGGAGTTCCCCAGATGGAAGACAAGGAGGCCCTGGAACAAAGGAATGGCATTTGGGACAAAGTAATGTTGGCAAATAAGAAATGCAACAGTGGTCCAATCCACAGGAGATGCCAGGCAATTGCTCATGGCATGAGATAGGGTCATAACGAAGAGCAAAGACCTGAAAAATCTTTCTTCTTCCCTTCCCTAGGCATCCATGATCCCACCTCATCTACATCCCACAGAGCCTCCATTTTCTCTAGGTATGAAACTGATTTCCAAGCTAGACTGAAAGCTGGAGGAAGATGGGACACATGTCTGCTTCATTTTCTATTACCCCAGCATGTAGGTGCAGCACCCAGCCCCTAGTTGTTTATCAGTATAGGTCTTGATGGTCACCTCCCCAGCCTCCCACCTCAGGAGTAGGCTCCACATGTCTCCCTTTCAGAAACAAGGCCACTTAAGACGCCAAAAACCCTCCTTGCCTTGGGCTCCACACAATCAGTGTATATCTTTCCTCATCTGCTGTGTGCTCTGAAAGTCGTGTTCACCTCCAAACAGTACATCTTTAAAATGGGTCACCTCTCCTCACAATCTACTCCAAAATTTCCAACAAGTTTTCTTCTTTTCATTTTGCCTCCCACCAGCCTATCCTATTCCCTTCTCTCCCCCTACAAAATCTAGTTCTTCTTCAAATACATTTAAACATTTTCACTAGGACATCTATCTATTTCTTAGTAAACATTGAAGAGAGTTTCTTCCTTTATTCAAGTATGGAGCCCTGCTCGATATCCTTTTGGTCTTCATATGCCTTCTTTCAAGGCCTTTCTGAAATTTTTTTCCATGCCTGAAAGCCAGTGGGGTTTTAACACAGGGACTGCGATGGCTAATTCCAAGGCAGAGTGAGATCGTTATCTATTAATCATTTGATAACTCAAGTTTATCACCTTGATCAATGAATAAGTTATCATTTGCCTGTGGGTCCCATTCTTGAGTGGTCATGGAGAGCTCTGTAGCTCACCCTCTTTACACTCATAATTTGCACAAATTTCACCTAAGAGTATTTACTTAACCACTTTAATTCTATTTGTCTCCACCTAAGACATTTAATTCAACAAATATTTATTAAGCTTCTCTATAAAAGGGACTCTGGCAACTTTCAGACCTGCACTGCAGCACCAGCTCTCTGCTGGCCCACCCCCTGCAGACTTTGGGCTTGCCTGTCTTCATAATCATGTGAGTCAATTCCTTAAAATATATATATATATATATGCACACACATGCGAATCTTATTGTTTCTGTTTCTCTGGAGAATTCTGACTAATACACCCCCATTCACCATCCAGGCTTTTGAGGAGAAAGATACCAATCTTTGAAGCAGAGGACACTCTGGATAGAGCCAGGATTTTGTTGCAGAGTCTGAGAAAAGTTCCCTCTGGAGAAGGGATGGAAGGATAGTCTGGGGGGGGTTGATTTAGGACTGGGTGTATGACACAGGAGAAAAGAAATCCCTGGGGGAGCTAAGTGAGGGAAGTGGACCTCTTATGATAGTTTCTTAGAGCAATCTAAGAAATCATGTAGGCCTCTGAGAAGGCATCAGGAATCAATGCAATTTGATTAATTGATTTAAAATATGTTGAACTTTTCAGCCTCCATTGTGTATTTTTGGTGCATTACTCTGTGCAATGATTTCATCCGAGACAAGAAGGGGCTGGAAGATTGCCTGCTCCACATTCAAACCCTCCTTATCGTATTGGTGCTGACATGACACAAGGATATGCAGTCTTTACCCGGTCCTAATTGCTCACAGAAAGTTGCCAGTCCTTACTGCTCACAGAAAGTAGTGAAGCCTCCCTTCACTCACAGGGCCCACAGAGGTATGCCCTGGTTTATGTAATGAATGGGCTGCTACAAATAGGTGTGATGCGTGCCTTTGTGAATCACTTTATATTTTGAAGACACACTAGAGAAGCTGGCTATTTCAAAGAAACTTTACAAGTGCCTCATTTCTTAATGTCACAAGCATTTCTGATTTAAAATCATAAACTCTTTCTAATGTATTAGCTTATGAAGTTTCATGTTTTGCCTAAGAGGTTTAATTAAAGCAAGATAAAACTATGCTTCATAACATTCAGTTGCCTGAAAGAGCTCTTGCAGAAATGCCTAATATATTACCAGAAAGTAGCTTAATGTCTCAAATAAATGTCAAGTTGTCCAAATCAAACTGATAGGCAGCTTAATGAGGGATAAATGTCACAACTATCCATATTTTTCCACATTTTTTTTAGAAAGAAAACATTCACACAATGAAGGGAATCAGAATCTGTTTTTATATCCCTAGAGTTATAAACATTTGTATCAAAATATTTACAATTATAGTATATGAAATAATCTATTAACGAAGAAGCCCAATACAGTACTAGAACAATCCACCAAAATAATGCAAATTACATGAGACATAAATGTCACAGAACAATAAGTAAAAGATAAGGGATACATGGTTTACTCCAGTCATAGTTCAACTTCTTAACAAAATTTGAGTATTTCCTTTGGATATGTCTGATATGTAAGTATGCTTCTGCACTAAGACAGCCTTCTATAACCATGTGATAATTAAATCATAATAACAAAGTTCATCTTCCCACAGTTTTTGCTGGCCAATCTCTCTAACCCAAGCCCAGGTAATTTGGTGGCTTGCCCTCAACATTTCCTTAACCAGAATAAACATAGAGAAATAGAATTAGTAATAATCCTTTTACATAAATACCAGAAATCATGGCATAACAAATCCCCAAAAATGAAAGGTATAAAAGAAATGGATGAGGCGAAAGCTAATAAAGAAAAGTAGGCAAGATGTCTCAGATTCTCCCTGGGGTAGACCTTCTCAGGGCGATAAACAAAAAGTCTTCCCAAAAAACCCCTTTAGACAGAATCTGAGATGGCTTAAAATAGCTGCTCCAGGGCAGAGCAATGCCTGCTTAACCAGGAATAACATACTACTTCTAAGTCCTATATAGAGGAGGCAGGCAGCCTCCTGTATAGCTGCCTCCTCCTATATAGCTGCAGGCAGCTCATCTACCATCTGACTAGGTACTACAAGAGTTTTTCCTTTTTTATTTTAGAGAAAAGATCTGCCCATCACCTAGATTTTTATTTATCTCATGGGATTTTCTCATTTTCCTGGGAATGCAGGCACTCTGTTCTTATCATGGCTGAAATATAGTATGTTTAATACTTCACAATTATATAGCACCTTTCACCCAAGGGCCTGTTGTTTGGTTTTGGTTTACGTGTGTTTTAATCAGCTTCCAGAATTGCCATGCCTCACCTGTGAAGTGGGATAGGCAGGGTCCCTAAGAGGTGATCACTCCAGCTGGTGTCTAAGCCAGAGCTACTACTGAGCCTAGGAGCCCTGATCCTCAATATTGATCATTAGACAAAACTTCTTCAAAAATAGTTAACAGGAAGAGTAATAGGATTGTGCTACAAGCAGCCATGTCCATCTCTTTCCTGTTGTATACTTAAAAGAAACATTGACTGCATTGAGGGGAATCCTAAAAATATAACCCTAATATGGCACTGTTGCGAGACTGCCCCTTGGATCCCACAGTTTGTGTAGTACTTTCACCACCGAATTGTTCACTAGTAACTTTAGAGAAACTCCAGAAGAACTGACTTGGCTTTAAGCGAGAGGCCTAGCAAAGACCATAGCTTGAGGTCTCCGTGAGGGACAGCCGTGTGTGAGGTCTGGACTGGGCTCTGAGCATCCCCCAGGTTTTCCATTGTGAAAAGCTCTTCTTCTTGGTTTAGCTAACCCACCAAGGTGACCTTACAAACTCTCTCTCCTCCTCCCATTTTGTCACTGAATTCCACAGAGCTAAGTATCTGTTCCAAAGAGGGACAATGACTCGCAGGCCAAAGCCCCCCAGGAGGCACTTCAGACTGGAATGTGATGTTTTGCTTTGGGTCAGAAGGGCAGGATGGCTTCCAGGCTTACCGTATTCATCACAAAGACAATATCTGCTCTTGCCAGAACTTGTACCGCTATTTTAACTCGGTGCAGTAGGTCTGTGGACCTCAGTGCATGACCCAGAATTCACCTCGGAAGTGGGGCTGGTGTTGTGGCAGCTGATGGGGCCCCAGACAGTGTGTGTCACTGAGAACAGCTGGAGGCCAAGTCTGGTGGCTGCAGGGAGGCTCTCTGGCCCCCATCAAGGGAGCATCAAAGTACTAGTCAACTACTTTCTCCCCAGGGTGGGGGCTTGGCAGCAGACAATCTCCTCAGTAATGGTTTAGGATTTGACCTCCCCCTTTTCTTCCCCCTCCCCCCTCCCCATCTTGGTTTTTCCTGTACAGCAACCTCCACTTCCCTCCCAGATTCAACGGCTTCCTCCTCCCCACCCCCCAGATCCCCATGAACTCGTCTGGCCTTATTTCTTTCTCAGGACCAGATAGAGAACGCCAATGATGAAGCTGAAGCAGAAGCAGATCCAGGCCAGGATATAGGAATAGCCGTGGTGATCTTCCGACCTGTAGTAGGTTTTATAGCTATTCGCATAACGATTAGTGTAGATGGACACCCCCACCAGCACGCACAGCCCTGCAGGGGAAAAGGAGATGTGTCAGTGTGTTTTCTTACATTAACATCGAGAAAAAGTTTTTCTAATTTTAAGAAGATCCTATTTCCCTCATTAGCAATAGGAAAATGAACTCTGGTTGTTTGTCCCTAAACAGGAGTTCTAATGGATGTCCCCTGGGCCAAGCTCGATGGTATGTCGATAAATTAGAGGTGTCTGGGCTCTCATATCTGCGCTCGTTTGTGTGTCCATAGTGTGATGTAAAACACAGAACCTCATGCCTACCACCCAGCTGTTCTGTCTGGCCCTTGTGGGTCTAGGAAAGCTAATCAGGGATGAAAAAGAGCACGTCCTTCCACCAACCCGAGTATATTGGGAAAGAACAACAATTAAATGAGAATCACAATCATTGTGTGCATTGTGGCAGTGGTTTCATCTTTCTGAGAACTCCTACCTTTCTGCCTTCTTCAAGTGTCTTGTATACACGTGCTATTGACAGATAATGCGCTGCCACTTGGTAGCTACCCAGGAGCACTGGTTTTGAACAATGAAGAAGATGAGGGTTCTTAACCCAAGCAGCAATTCAAGGTTTTCCATGAGAGAACAAACAACCAGAGGAGAAAATTGCACAAGGAAGTTTCACTGAACCATGTGCTAATCTGTCCAAGTTGCCAGAAGCCCCCACGGTAAGATGGACTTAACAATGTAAACTGGACTCAACCCATGAGATACTCACAGCACACCAGCATGGTGGCCCCCGAGAGGAAGAACCGGTTTCCCTTCTCCATGGTGAAGAGCTGGAACACGAAGACCAGGAGAGAGATGGCAGAGAAGATGATAGAGAGAATCATGAAGGCCTGCACTGTCTTCAGGGCATCTGTAGACACAGGGCGAGGAGAACAAGGGCATGGGGTCACTCCAGGGGCCGAACATTCCCTGACTACACCTATTGTCAGCACTGGGTCAATATCTTTATATATACCTTCATCGGCGTATAACAGGGTCCCATTGCAGAAAGTGTTGGTACAGTTATTCCAAAGACCTACTGATGCATTTCCCGCATTGGAAACCACCCAGACCTGAAACCAGAAGGAAAGAAAATGTTGATTGAAAGCTGGCCCTCTGATTTAAAAAGAAAATAACAAATCAGCTTGCATCGGGATCAAATATTAATGAAGACACTTTATCTAGCCATAACGATGGCTAAGCAGCCTATCTGTGGGTGGAAATAAGGTCCGATTAAAACTGAAGTCACAAAGATCCCAAGAGAAGAGAGACAGAAGAATGTGAAACCCAGAAAGAAATCACCTAGCCCTCTTTGGGTTCCACGATCTTCATGACTTAAAATAAACGGAAGTAATTCAACCACAGTGGTTTAAAATTCTAAGGTTCTGAGAAACAGAAATCCAGGATGAAGAAGCTGGCTTAAGTGTGTGCAATTCATATACTCTAACAAGATTGTTTCTTTTAAGTCCCTGGTTGACCAGGAAAAAAAAGTGAAATGTCCAACTGGAAACAATTAAAAAACATAAGACCTACTGGGAAAATAACAATGAATCTGGTGGTTAATAAGCCCCTTTCATCTAAACAGAAGGATCAAACTTGACTGTCACAACATGCAAAGTAATTTGATAGTAAAATACTACAGCAAGTGCTTTCCTGTAGGGGCTACTAAAAGTTGAAGGGTGACCTGAATGGATTCCCCCAGGGTCATGATGGTGCCGCCATCCCTTCCTGCCTGGCCCAAGAAAAGGAATCATCCTTCTAGAATAGAAAACAAGTGCAGGGTTCTATCTACACACACACAAATGCACACACTGGAAAGGCGGGGCCAGGTACATGCAATCACCTGCGCCAATCCCTGCTCTTCATTCAATAAACAGCTGTGTGCCGAGCCGTATATTAGGGGCTGGTAATTCACAGACACGCAGCACTTTGTAGCTCATTAATACACTTTGAAGAAGCTTATCAGATTTATCCGGATAGATGTAAGAGTTGACATATAGAATGGCTAAATTACAAAATGAGGAGGTTGCATGGGTGGGGGTTGCCTTATCACAGTTATTCTTAAATTAGCCTTGCTTATGATCACACCCACCAATGTTTGCAAAGCTCTTCTAACTGAAATTTAAAACTCATTTATACTTTAACTGTGATAGGGACCTAAACAGATTCTGAAACCATGGTTTGCTGGACTAGTGATGGGTGGCCTTGGTTTTTAAGTCCAAGGAGCTGGCTTGTTTTTTCTGAGAAAAGCACAAGTAAAAGCAAATTGGGCGCTATAAGCCACCACTAGAGGTCAGAGTAGCCCAGAGTTCAGGGAGAAAAGACTCCCTCCACTTTTTTTTTTTTTTCTCTTGTCTGAGTTAGTTAATTAAGTGGCACTGTGTTAATCTTGCAAAACTCCACTTTCACAGGCTACTCTTTGCTCAAAATTTGAATTCTCTGGTCTGGCAGTCAAAGCCTGTCATCCTCTCCTTCCCATCTATCCTTCTAATCAAGCTTCTCAGAAGGGGAAGCCCGGCTCTGGCCACTTAGGTGTGTGTCCTCCTTATCCTCTGACCAAAGCTTGTCCTTCCTACATGTGCTCCTTTGCTAGCACTCTCACCTGAATGCATCCCTATGATCCTTCCACCTTCCCTCTTTCACTAAGAGAAACCTCAGTCATCTACCAGTCCTCCAGGTTCACCTCAAGCTCCACTCACACCTGCTGCTGGGAAGGCTCTTCTAGAGCCCCAAGAAGCCACACTAGATCCTCCAGCCCTTAACCACCTACAGCTCTGGCAGGATCGCTCCTGTGGCCATTCACCTTTATCCTCTTGTTATTTAATTGTTTGAAGGGCAAGCGTGTGTTTATTTTGTTTTCCCACAACTGAGCTGTAAGTTCATGAAGGGCAAGGGCTGTGGCTTAAACTTCTTTTGTGCACTTGATGTAAATATTCGAATGATTTCTCAATGAGTGAATAAACAAAAGCATATTACTCACATTGGCAATGGTGCAAACAAATAGCATAATAACAGTGGCGATGTGGACCACAAATATACCAGCCAGCAATACCAACATCTTGGCTTTTGGTTTTTTGGTAACTTGTGAGCAAAGAGTTCTGAAAAGAAAAAGAAAGGGACAAAAACGGTTACTGTCGGATTCGATAAGACGACTCAGTTTTCCCACACATGTGGGCTCTCTGCTAACCTGGGGAAGAGCTGCTCTAAAAACCATCACAATCGAATCATAAATTCCTGAAAACACCCCTGTAACCTAGTTCTGATTTGCCTAAGTGCCTATTCATCCAGTTATACATACCTACATGGAAACATAATTTGGTTTCTTCTTAGGTATTTACATACTCATTTCTCTAATACATTCTATTTCAAATAAGGAACAAGAACATTTTATGATAACTGTTACTATTTTATTTTGTTTGTGTTTTAGAGGTTACAAATAGGACTTTGATTTTCAAAGAAGTAGACCTTTATAATTTCCAGGTCTCTGTGCAACAATGTCATATAAATGTCCATTTTCCACTAGGAAAATGTCCATGCTTTCATCAAATTACTCACCCAGCACTTTTAATAGAAGCGAATGCCTTCTGAAGAATAGCAGCTATTACTCAATGCCCATATACTGAATAGGCTACTAATTTGATCCCGGATGAGATATAAAATGTGAAAGACACAATTCTATTATTATTATGCTGTTTGGTTTTCAATAATTATAACAACCTAATTACAGTTTAATGGTCTGGTCACTCCCGACTGAGCATTTCAGACTAGTATTACTATACCTGAGCCTCTGGACTCTGTGTGCCTCATGGCAGAAAGCCTGCCATTGGTCTGGGCAGAGAGTCACATTTTTCACAGCTCAGTGTGACGGTTCTGTATGCAACTTGAGATACCACCAAATGTGCCTTCTTGTACATGACATTTACACAAATTCCAACCCTTCAGGACTCAATACAGAAGATAGGCAAATGCATAAATCACAGGATGGGAGGATTGGGAACTAACATTGATTAAGAATGTACATGGATAAACAAAAGTTTCCAGCCATAATGGCAGCAGAGAAGAAGGGAGCCCATTGATCATAAAGCCTAGGAAATAAAGGAAGTGTGAAGGATACACATGGGGGAGGCTATTCTGATTTAAGTCAGCTACAGAAGGAGAGCTTTGTCATGCCTAAGACTGTCACAAAGCAGTGCAGGCTCAGAGGGACATCAAAAGGAAAGGGCTTGAGGTTATTCACACCCTAGGCAGAATGGATGTGTGGATGCCCTAACCAAGGGAGGAGATGGCCAGGCGCGTCCTGCAGTTGTTCCACTGCCCTCTCTCACTCCACCTAATTTAATTGACGCTTTGAATGTGCTTGAGCCACTTTCATGCCATACCAGGTATTTATTAGAGAGCACTGATACTATAATTCCAACACTTCACATGCCTTTTATCTCCTCTCACTTTCTTCATCAGGCAACCAAAAATCTGGAATGATCTAATATACATCAGGGTGCCTTGCTCTCTGCAAGCAAGGAATGAGAGGCAGACACTGCTTCCACCATTCTCCCTGACCCTCTCCAGCAGCCCCTTCCCAATCTGGCCACTTCCTTCCAAACCAGGCTGTTTTTTTATGTGTCCAATTTAACTGCGAATGCAAAAATTATGACGTTTATCCTGCCTTTTCAGGGGAGAGGTTGGAGCTTTCATGTCTGCTATTAATAATCTCCCCACACATTCAAATGCATTTTTGCTTTTCTCGGGTTCTAGCACACCTCCACAATTTTCTGCCTGACTTAAATGCACAGCAAAAAGAGTTTTTTGAATCAGAGGTTGAATTAGAATTATATCCAGTTATTTGACCGCTCATCTCAGTTTCCTCATTTAGAAAGTGGAAGTCGCAATGTGAATTGCAAAGGGAAGTGTGAGGATGAATTCAGATTGTTTATGTAAAACACCTAGTGTCTGGCACATGGCAGCTACTAATAATGGGGTTGCTTTAGCTGTGGTTATTATTATTACTATTATTCATAAGTGTAGCCAGGTAGCTGTTGCCAACTCAACCCAGTTACTCAATCTCTAGGCTGCCCCACGTTAAGTGCTATGTAGTCCACGAGGCAGGGTGTATAAAATCCTTTCAGTCCTCTTAGAAATTGTCATTTGTCTGACCCTTGCTCCTTAAGCGGGGAGACCTTTAAGAGCACACCCTCGGGAAAGACCAGGAGACAGTTCACTTTCTCAGCCCAACTTCCTCATACGCCCCAAGATTCACACCTCACCAGATCCTGATCTCCTTGCCCCCTATGGGGAAAGGAACAGGCTGATTGCAGTGAATTACAAATATTACATAACGAATACTGATGTTTAATCTTCCTCGGACTCTTCAAATGACTTTCTTGTTCCTGTTGCTTCTAATTTACAAACATCCTCTTCTTAAAAGCGGGAAGGGCTGGAGGGGCCAATAACAGAATATAATCCACCAAGTGAAGCCACTTAAATGAGTCACAGAAAACATTCCCTCCCTGAGAGTTTGTTGGGAATTCAGCGGCATTTTGTCTCCTTGGGTTACTCTGTAACCCCTAAAGTCAAGTCTGATTTCCTCTGCCCAGCTCACACTCTCTGTCTCAATGACCCCTCCCACGGCACCTCTACCTGGACCCATGCGTCACAGCCCTGGTGGTGTGTGTGAGTTCCTGGCCCCTGGATCCAGCTGACCATACGCCCCGCCCATTGCAGGCTGGAAGAATGGATGTGAGAATCAAGCAAAAGAGCAACTCTCTTTCATCGTGGATTTTTGTGATTGTGCCCTCCCTGTCTTTTCACCACGGAAAGAAGCAAAATGTCTGGAGTTAGCAAGTGGTCTTCTTGTGCGAAACACACAGTTCTCTCTGCTTTTAGCTGCTGTATCCAGCCAGAAGGAGAGGCTGTTTAGCTTGAGCTACAACTTCTCCATCTTTTCACTGGCCCATTGTTTGTCAGGTTTTACTAATATCATTCACTGTCAGTTTAGAGGGGCTTCCATTATTTTCAATGGCCTTCCCCCAACACAGGTGAAAACAGAATGAATTATCATCTTGAGTTTCTGGGCTGAATCATCCCTAGTTACCCAGTCTCTATACTGGGCTAGATACCTCTTGCCCCCAGGGGACCCCTCAGTCTGGGAGTGGGTGATCATTGAGGTCTTTATGAAAAAGCCATTAGTGGTACCTAATGGGTAAATGTCTGTGCATTTATCAAATAGCAGAGTAGAATAGCAGAAGAACCCTTGCTCCTAAAACTTCCACCCACCCATTACTTGCAGGGTAGCTTGTGGGGAGATTCATTCCCTGCCCCACTGTGAATCTTGCTTCATACAAAGGCACTGAAAAAAATACCATGTATGAGAATTTATACATTGGAAGTGTTGGTGGCTACTACTTACTTCTTAGCAGTGTGTTTCACTAAAACAATAGTAGACTTCTCCGTCACCCCTCTCCAAAATGCTATGGGTGGCACTCTCCAGTGGAAAGCATACCCCAGTCCTAGTGAGGCAGCGCAAACCAAGATGCAGAGAATCACAGCATTGCAATTCTGAATACTTTGAAGCAAAACCTGCTTTTTGCAGAGCATTTGGTGCACTGGGCAGTCCCAAAGTTGTAGGGGAATGCTCATAACAGCATTCATTTGTGGTGCTTAGACTCCCAGACCTAGGCCAGCAGAGCTTATCAATTCAATGCTTTTTTAAAGAACAGGCCATCCACTGACTTCTATGTGGATGCCAGGAACACATTTCTGTACCCACCGCTGTGAGTGGAGGATGATCTCTTTCTTAAGCCTCACCTACCTAACATACGTGGCACAGGGGCAGTCAGGGGCTGGGTGGGAAACTGAGGAAGGTATAGGAGCCATGTATGGTGACTCTGGAGAGAAGTATTGTTAACAGAAATGGAGATCAGCACCTCAGAGCCACACACGGGTCTCTGATATCCCTTTTCTGTTTTTTCTGCCCTAATGGACAGGCTTGCAGTTCCCTACCTCTGACCACCATGTTTTGTTTCTGACCACTGTTCTTCCTTTTCTTTCCACATTGCCCAGACCACACTACAGCAGACGTGTCTTTGTGCTCCTAGCTCTAATGCAAACCTCACAAACACTGACCATTCAGTATTTAGATAAAGTTCTTAGCTAACAGAATAGCTAATATAGTTATAGTTAGTAGAAATAACCCTGAGGGAGTTCGAGACCATCCTGGCTGACATGGTGAAACCTAGTCTCTACTAAAAATACAAGACATTAGCCGGGCGTGGTGGCACACGCCTGTAGTCCCAGCTACTGGGGAGGCTGAGGCAGGAAAATCGCTTGAACCAGGTAGGCAGAGGTTGCAAGGAGCTGAGATCGCTCCATTGCACTCCAGCCTGGGCAACAGAGCAAGACTCCATCTCAAAATAAAATAAAATAAAGAAGATTAAAATTGCTCGTGGCTATAGCTCCAAAGGGCTAACTAATACGAGACATGAGAGAAGGGAAAGAGGGATAACCAAACCTCTCAAGTTATCTCCATCCATTTAAATCTTTATTGGCTTCTTGCCTCCCTCTTGCACCACACACACACACATGCACACACACACACACGCGCACACACACACACATACACACACACAAATGAAACAATCAGAGGAACACAGACCTGAGACTGCCATACATTGCTTTGTTGCCTTGTTCAGGCAGCCTAACACTTTTAGGGTTCTCTGACCAGTGAGAAATTACTCAGGCCCACATGGGAGCCTTTCCTTTTCTGGTGGGTAACTAAATCTGCAGCGACTTTGAGAATAATTGACTTCTAAGAAACAGAAGGGAAGTTTAGAGGTGCATAATTTGGCTCCGTGATTGCTAAGCTAGGAGTCAGGTAACTTCCTCCTGTCCAGAAGTTTGTGTGCTTATTGAACTGCCATGGGGCCTGGAGGCAGCAGAAATTCTTTAAGTGTGGCCTGAAACACAATAACTGGGAGCAATACAATAGAATAGAGCAACCAAAAACCCACTTCTTCAGTGAAGGAAGTGGTCAAAATCCTGGGGCTTGAGTCACTGAAGAATTAGCCTTAGCCGAGGGGTGGGAGGGGAGCATGCTCAGAAATCA